AAAGGGACTAAAAATGTAAAAATTTTCCATTTTGGGCCAAAATTGTAAAAGTTGCGAAAATGGGGGTTTCAACCGAGAAAATTTCATTTTGAGGGACTTAAGATGTTTTTCAAGTAAATTTGTGCTAAAAATGTCTTTCCAATAAGTTTTGATACTAAAGTGTCAAGAAAAATAGTTTACGGACTAAACCGAAAATTCTTTTATACACAAAGGGTTAAAAGTGTAAATTTTATCTGAGAAAGGGCTTAAGAAGATAAACTCCCATTCTTAAAACAATAGATCCCTTAAAATAAAAGTACAAGTATTACGGCTACCGGCGAAACGTGATAATGAATACACCCTTAACACCAAAATCGTTACCAAACGAATTGATTCGGTCTCGAATCAATAATGAATCAAAAATTAATATACAACGGTACCACAACACACACGCGATATTATACGAGAAGTCAATACACATTCTTTGGGCTCAAAAGTTTCAAATCGTGCTTGTTGGGCCTAGCTAGCCCAATGACATGATCTTTAGGCCCGAAGGGAACACGCTTACATGTTATTGGGCCTTACATGACCTAATTCCTTGTAAAAGGACTTTCAATAGCCTTATTGTGCTGTTGGGCCCCAAGGGTCCTTTGGTACTGCTAGCAAAGTCGAGAAGTCAAATGCGAGTCGGACCAAGTGCCTTTCGCATTCACGATAGCCTTGAACGACTTATGGAAATAACGGGGGCTTCGCACCCTCTTTTCTCCTCGGTTGTGGGGCTATGAGAAGTCAGGGTGGTTGGATTAAGTGAGTAGTACGGACGACGCCTAAGGGATCGTTTGTAAAGTTGTAAACTAGTCATTTTCATTAATGCGTGCTTATAATGACTCACAACCCATAATTAATCCAATGTCACCTGAACTATAGAATACAACATCGTATCGGAATAATACTAACTAAGCCACGTAAATTGACGTATTAGGAAAACATCGGGTTTTCCTAAGGAATTCAACACTTTCACCTATGTGATGCATACAAAGTCAAATAATTATTCACACTTACAGAAATCAACAAGCATACTTACGGATCTTCACACTTTTTCTTACTTACAATAATCTTTTCACAAAATATCGGATTTTCTGGTGGTTTTCAAAATAATACAAATCATTACTTTTCAAACATTACTTATGAACTCACCAACATTTCATATGCTGACGTTTTTCCAAAATACTTGTATTCTCAGGTAACAGGTAAATCGAAGAAAATGTATCCAGTGATATCATGATGTTTCGTTTAATTAATATCGAACGGTTTATGTTTTGGAATTGTATTGTGTAAAAACAATGTACTGAATGTAAACACTGATGGTTGTAATATTTCAATGCATGGTGACGAATGATGTTATGATTCATGTATATTCATTGTGATGGTATTCAATTGAGTCACAATAGCCCTCAGACGTTTCTACCGTCTGGTTCGGGGTGTGACATGGCATCACTGCCATGGCTCGTTTTGTATCCAGAATCTCCTGGATGGAGAGTGTGAATTTGTGTATAGATCTATACTGGATTGACTATCCTACACCTTGTTGTTCGCTACAGTGGAACTTGCAAGTCTACGGTGCTAAATGTCATTTCTTCCGACGTCTTTCACCGTCGTGTTATTAGTCGAAAGTATGGTGCAACCATTTCACATTATACCTTAAATAACAATTGGTTTAAGGTAGTTAGTACATCAGTAGTTACTATAATACAACACTACAATACTATTATTATTTTCCCATTGCATTCACATTGTGATCTTCTCACATAAACGATAATGTAAAACTATATTTTTGGTTAATGATAGTCACACTTGGGAAAATACACACTCTTACAAGAAACAAACATACAAAACATTTAATGCCTTGGTGAAAGGCTACGTTTAGTAGAAAATATAGGATTTTCTAGGAAATACAAACATTTACTACAAATATTTACAAACTTATACATCAAACACTTACAAACATTTTCATACAAACAATGATACTAAAATGCTTATGAACTCACCAGCTTTAAAGCTGATCAACTCTTTCAAAATAACTTGTATTCTCATGTCATCAGTAGACAGGTACCGATGCTAGGTTTTGAGAAGATGGAGCTCGTTCAAGCTCATCTCTTATTTTGATTTACACTTTTGGTGTCTTATAAACTTCACAGAACACACTTGTATTAAATTATATTATTAATGCAATGGATGATGTTGTTGCTTGTTTACTACTATGCTTTGTTTTGATATTGTACATAACGTCCTCCGCCCCCGAACGTTTCTGCCGTTCCGTATTTGGGGTGTGACAGCACGGGATCGGGATTTGAGACAAACTGCTCATTCTTAATATATATATATATATATATATATATATATATATATATATATATATATATATATATATATTACAAAGATCTAGTAAGATTGATAATGGTCTATTACTTATGCTATATTATCTTTAAACAAGTATTTTAGATATATAACTAGGATTTTACCCGTCGCGCGTTGCGGCGATAGTAATGTATTTAAGAAGTAGTATAAAAACGTATTATATGTGTATTTATGAAGCAGTAATGTATTTATGAACTTAAGAAGATTTAAATTGACAAAGTATATAAAGTATAATAGTTTGGGACGAAAGTCATGCTAAACAAAGATAATCAAAACCATATTATATGTGACACGCATATAAAAATAAATAACTAGATTTTTTTAAAATTAAAAACGGAGTTTCAAATAATTAAAAACGTATTATATGTGTCCCGATTTAGACATAAGAAATGTACATAAACATAAGCACGAAAAGGTAAAAAAAAAGTTACGTTGAGACGCAGACAGACTCAAATTTATACCGACATGTACATAAAAAAAATATTTGTTTTAAATCAACGGTCTAAAGTTATAAATTTATGCTGAAACAATTTATGTCGAAACGTTGGTTACCTCTAATTTATATCCACACATCCAAAAGGTTACAAAATTAGAGGGGTGATAACGGTAGGAAAATTAGATTATATACGTATTATCGGGGATAACATAAAAGTTTAGAAAATAGAAGGGGATGAAATTGACATTTTCCAACGTTTCATCGGTGAATATGATAAAAAAAAATAATGGGTTGAAAATTTCATTCTATAAAGTATAAGGACGGTACATAACATGGGGCTTAAACTGCCAAAAGTAAAAGAGAAGAATGTTAAAGGATTGAAAATAGAAAATAAAAAAAATGGAAGGGAACGGAAAGAAAAATTAAGGCGCCGATATTCGTTTTTAGAAGATATATATTATAATTATTATTAAGAAATACTCCTAGTATATCCGACCATTAGGATATGAATGTTTTTCAGAAAATAAATAAAATATTTAAATGGCAAGTGTATAAGTGTTAGGAGATATTTGGACCATCGGAGTGGGTGGCCAATGGTTAGCATGTGGCCCAATGATGCCAAGGAGTGGGCAGCCAATGGTCAGCATGTGGCCCAAAGTTCGTAAAAAGAGAAACGGCTCATATTTTTGATCATTATCATTTAGCAAACGACGTGGAATCTAAAAAATTCAAAATAAAATAATATCACTTTTTGGTATATTTTACTGTAATAATAATATTTTACCATTATATTGGTTTTTACTATGTAGTTTTTTTTGTTGATTAATGTATATGTGATTTTTTAAAGAAGATTGTTCCATATCACATCTATTTTTACTATAAATAAGTTTAAATTGTTTTATTTGTATTTATCATCCTTGTTAATATGTATAATTCCTTTTTTTTTAGAACTTCAAGATATGCGTATCATTTACATTCAATAGTAAATTATTGAGATCGTCGTCCTGTGGTTTCGATAAAATTACATATTTGGTCCTTTATTTATTTTTTATATTCAGACCGTACGTAAATTTAATTTTTATTTCAGTTTTGGTCCCATACAGCTTAAAATAACTACACTACCCTTATATATTTACTTTTTGTTTAATTTTTGTTTAATTAATTAATAAGAATATCGGCCAACGTCCTATCAAAACAACCAACCCATCGCTTTAACCCTTCCGATGCATCTCTTCCTTTTGTCACCTCTCTTCTCACTTGTCTCTACTCCGCCTCTCTTGCCGGAAAACCCCGTCGCCACCATCGAACCACCATCCACCACCTTATGTCTTCGACTATTACCGTCTAAACTCTATGGAAGATCTAACTTCGCAAACCTGAAGTAACCCAATGAATCTGATGCGCACCAGAAAGCTCGACATTGGAGATCGATTTCTTCACGTTCATCACTTTGATCTCTCTTTTCTCAAGTATCACTATGCGATGGGGTTTTTATTATACACAAAATCAATTTATCACTTAGGTGTGTTTTAGGTTAGGTTTGCATCAGGTTTGCTTGAGGAATTTTTCTGGAATCGATTTCTCACTCGATTTTCAACTTTTTTGAAATCGATTGTCATACAAATATAATTAGGTTAGGTTTTCTTGAGGAATTTTTTTGGAAGGTTGCAGCAGGATTGCTTCATGTTTGTTTGAGGTTTGCAATAAGTTTAATTCGTTTACTTCATTCAAGATTTTTTCGAGATTTAATTTTTCTGAAATGAAAAGCTCGCATGAAGTTTGATTTCCTGGTTCATCAAATTTTCAAGTACATGTTTTGCTTTTGGTTTCATATGGTATGGTGCAGGTGGTGGTTAATAAGGGTAGTATGGTCATTTAAGGTCAGTTGGGGGGCAAAAACGAAACAAAAACAAAATATGGGCGTTCTGAATGAAAAAAAAAATTAGGATCAAACTCGTAATTTTATCCAAACTACAGGGGACGATTTCAATAATTTACTCTAAATTCAATTTAATATGTTTCCTATCTAAAACCAACTTGAAGACGAAGATATCCTATTGTAATCTTTTATTATCTTAGATAAATATTTATTATTGTTTATTGTCTATAAAAGATAAAAAAGATATATTATAGTTTATACATGAGATGTACAATGTATCAACGACATACACAACAACATAAAAATAAAAAAGAACTACATGGTCAGATATTTTCTTAGATATTTTGAGACAATTTTCTGTGTTCTTGAATATCGTGCTTTCACCATTGCTTTAATTCTCGCTCAAAAACAGTTGATCCAAAAATGCAACCAAAGAAATTGCTATCGCCGTCTGCATTTTACGGGCATTCTCTTTTCTTTCTTTTCTTCCATTAATAAAGGTATGAAAGCTTCTCCAGAGGTCACTGATTCATTACAGGTAAGAAACAATTTTTTTTGTTAATTTCTTTCAGGTTTTTGGTTTTATCGTTTCTATCCTCTCATTGATTAGTCATTGCAATTTTGTTGTAGATTTCCGTGATTTAGCTTCTGACTTTGTAACAGTGTGTCTTTTCTATTGATAATCTCATGGACATGAATGAAATCATACTACAAATTCCTTACAAACTACGATTTGTAAATATGAGAAAGTAAATGTCTTTGAATTTGAAACATGGACACATTTAGTATTATTATGGGATTTTTATTCTTCACTGTGAGCTGTTGTCATTTGTCTAATAAATTTGTGAAGCTTATTGATAATTTTGTATGTAACTAATCAATATCATTAATTGTTTTTAGGGCTTCAATTCTGTTAGTTAAACTGTTTGAATAGGAGCGTAGCTAAATTCCAAACCCTAAACCAATAATCATAATGATAAGCTGCTAAGCAAACTGACGAGTAAAGTTACTTATGAAGCTCATCAATTCCAAATGTTAAATGAATATAGATCATATTTAGTTATAGAATAGTGGTCATTGAATTGTAAATTTCAAAATGTATCTATATACTTAAATTCTTGGAATGAGTGCATCTTTTTAAGGTTTACATTGTAATTTATATGCTCTAAATTTGGTCATTATTTGTAATAGGGTCATGCTGAAAGTTCAAGTCAAACTAATACAAGACCCCTTGGTACAAGTGACATTGGACACTTTGGTGTTGAGACAAATGTGACAAATTATGACCTCATGAACCCAAACATTGCAACCACTTCAGGCACAAGGGATATTAGGGATTGTTTGTCAAGCATGCCTTTAAATCCTGAAAGTGTTAAAGCTAGGTTTAATAATGAACAAGAGAATGAAGATCTTCCTAAAGAACAACCATCTGACCAGTTAATGGATAGTAACATCAATAAGAGGTTAAAGGTATCAAGCTCAATGAACTTCTCTAATTTCCTTTTTAGGCAATCTATAAAGGGAAAAGGGTTTTTGTGCAAAAGTTCAAAGATCTCTAATGAGCACAATGTTGCAGAAATGACAAAGAATACTGAAAATAAAGATTTCATGGGCAGAATGAGTTCTAATGGATCATTAAAGTTAAGTGAAATGACTCTTGATTTCCCTCAAGAAATTGCATACAAAGGGATGAACTTGAGGAAGTGGCTAAAACACAATTCTATACAAGTGAATAAAGCTGAGAGGTTGCAGATATACAGACAGGTTGTTCAGGTTGTTGATATGGCACACTCTCAAGGAAATGCCTTGCAAGATTTATGGCTTTCAAATTTCAGTTTGTTGCCATCAAATGAGATCATTTATTTTGATTCTTCAACAAATTACGAAGCAATAAATAGTTCTCAAAGTAATAGAAAACATATTCAACAAGGGAGAGAGTCATACTCTGTAACTATTGAACTTGAAAAAAAATGGTATGCTTCTCCAGAGGAGCTCTATGGAGTGGAATCATTATCAGCAAATATCTACAACCTTGGTGTTCTCTTATTTGAGGTGACATGGCTATTATTCTCTTTCATTCTTATATATACTCTTAGCATAGCAATATTTGTTACTTGCATTAAAAAACATTTTAAAATGTTCTGTTTCAAAGCTACTTTCTTTTATAGTTGACATTTGTTTAAGTATTTCATAATGATGTTTATGATCTTACACTAATTTACCCTTTTACCCTCCAGTTACACTCCTCATTTGCATCATTAGAGATGCATTCTGCAGCAATGTTAGATTTACAATACCGGATCCTTCCACCAAGTTTCATTTCTCAAAATCCACAAGAATCTGCCTTCTGTCTTTGGCTCCTCCATCCTCACCCTTCATCTCGCCCAACAACAAGGTATTCTCTCTCTCTATTCCAACATTTTATCAAATCTTTCAAATGTTTATAACATATTTATCTCCATCAGGGAAATCCTACAATCTGAGTTATTAAGTGGAACCAAAGAATTTTACTCCAAGAACACTTATTCTCCAATTATAGACAAGACCGAAGATTCCGATTTTAAGATTCTATTTAATTTTCTAGTTTTATTAAAGGAACAAAAGGAAAAACACGCGTTGGAGTTATATAAAAACATCCAGTTGTTAGAAACCGATATCAAGAGTTTTCAGCACGTGTATTATGATTCAAAAAATATATTCGAGACAAGAATGAAGAGAAACATGAGTCATCTTGAATGTGCTTATTTCAGCAAGAGGTCCCAACTCCAACTTTCTAATTCTACCACTGCCTCTAATGACCGAAATGACCTTGACCTGTTAGGGAATCATGAAAGGTGCTGTGATGATTTTTTAAAGGGTATATGTAAGTTTATAAGATATAGCAAGTTTGAGGAATGTGGGAATTTAAAAATCGGGAATCTTTTGAATTCTGCAAATGTGATATGCTCTTTGAGCTTTGATCGTGATGAGAAGTACATTGCTGTTGCTGGTGTCTTGAAGAAAATAAAGATTTTTGAATTTGTTTCGCTTTTAAATGATTCTGTTGATGATGTTAATTATCCTGTTGTTGAGTTGGTTAATGATTCGAAGCTTAGTTGTGTTTGTTGGAACAAGTACCTCAAGAATTATTTGGTGTCAGCTGATTATGATGGTGTGCTTCAGGTATGTGTTCTTTGCTTTATGGAAACTTTAAATTGTGAAATACTATATAATATTTTACTCATATGCTTTGGAAGGAATCAAATAATGTTTTGTTATGTGTTTAGTAGGCAGGAAATGGAATGGAGTTCAATAATAAAATTTGAATTTGTTTTTTTCTCTCAATACATTTACTGAGGGTACTTTGGTCTTTTAATAAAAAAATGGAAGAATGGAGAATTGAATTCCTTCCAATCACCCTTAGTAATGGTGAAATCCATCAAACATGGAATTTGAAGGAATCTTCAATTGGAAGGAATGGAATATGTCAGAGGGAATTGTAATATGTTGTTCGTTTGGTTAGCAAGAAATGGAATGGAATTCAATAATTTTTAGATTTTTATGTGAATCTTAATTCTTTTCTTTCTGTTTATTTCAATATGTATTAACGAGGGTATTTTGGTATATTAATAAAAAAAGGAAGAACGGAATTGAATTCCGTCCATTTGGAAACCAAACATACCATGGAATGGAATCTTCAATTCCAAATGCGTCAGACAGACTTCATCAAAATCCATGAATCAAACATGCCTTTTAGGGGCTGTTTCTTTTCCACAAAGTGTCTGAATGACAATCACAATGAGACTAAATGACCATTTTACCCTTCGTCTATGAATGACAATGATGTTCGTCTGGATAAAGTGTTATACACAAAGTCTGTTTAGTTTTTGAACCAAAATAAACCATGTCAACGAGACTAAATGACCATTTTAGCCTTGGTCTATAAATGACACTGATGTGTTACTTTTTTTTCTCTCAAACAGGTGTGGGATGCATTCATTGGTCAAGGGTTATCTCGTTATATAGAACACCAAAGAAGGGCATGGTGTGTTGATTTTTCTCGTGTGGACCCCACGCAATTTGCCAGTGGCAGCGATGATTGTTCAGTCAAGTTATGGAGCTTAAACGATGTAATTCTCTCTCACTACTAATTTTAATATATTTTAATCATCAAAAAGCTTTTTAAAAAAAACATTTTTTTACAGAAAAAATCAACATGCACAATCAGAAGTGCTGCGGATGTGTGCTGTGTACAATTCTCTCCATGTTCTTCACATCTATTGGCTTTTGGATCTGCTGATTACAAGATACATTGTTATGATCTTCGACATGTAAAGATTCCATGGTGCACGTTAGCAGGACATGAAAAGGCTGTAAGCTATGTGAAGTTTTTGGATTCCGATTCCGTTGTTTCTGCATCCATTGATAATACAGTGAAGCTTTGGGACCTGAAAAAAACCAGTTTAGAGGGGATTTCTACTGATGCTTGCTGCATGACCTACAAAGGTCACACTAACAAAAAGGTTAACACCCTTTATGTATATTATAGCGTCCTACTTTCATTTCTTTCTATTACAACATTATACTTTTAGTTCTTTTCTTTTAAAGGCATTGCACTTTGTAACATCTGCCCATTTATAGCATTGTATTTTCAACTTCTTTCTTAATAGGACATTCTACTTTAAAAAAAATCTTACTTTTAACAGTGAAATTTGATTCGTATTTTGATGGCATAAATATTGTTGGAAAGATTTTTCAAAATTACAATGTTGTAATAGGAAAAAATAGAAGTATGAGGCTATAACAAACAAATCAATAGGAGGGAGACACCCTTATGTGAAAATTTCAAGCATCTAATAATGGTATTTAATAAAATATTCAAGCATCTAAGAATTGATAACGTATTTTTACTTTTTTGTGTATGATAGCATCCTACTTTCATTTATATCTATTACAGCATAAACCATTATTTTTTTCTTATCAAGGCATTGTGTTTTGAAAAATCTACTTAATTGTAGCATTGCATTTTCAATTTCTTTCTTATTAGGTCATTATACTTTGTAGAATCTAGCTATTATTGGGTAGATTTTTCAAAGTATTCTGTAATAGGAAAAAATAATATATTCCAAATCTGACCCTTTCCTTTTCTCCTTATTCAGAACTTTGTTGGCTTATCTGTTCTTGATGGATATATAGCATGCGGTTCTGAATCCAATGAGGTATTGGAATTATTACTATTTAAACTATTACATTATATCAAATTAAGGATTTTTTATTCCGTTTCTGTTCAGGTTTATGCCTATCATAAAAGTTTCCCAATGCCAATTACTTCCTACAAGTTCGGAACCACTGATTCCATTTCCGGTGGTAACAATGGAGAGTTTGTTTCCAGTGTTTGCTGGAGGGAAAAATCAAATATGATTGTTGCTGCCAATTCAGGTGGACATATAAAGGTTCTGAAAATATTGTGAAGGGCCTATATATGCTCACTAATTTTACAATTCTAGCCTCCCTACCTTCAAGCCTGCTATAAGCAGTAATGTGGAAATGACTAGTTTGCCCTTCAACCTAAAAAAAACAAGTCCATATACTCATAAACGATACTAGCAAGAAAAAGTGGTGGGAATTGGCGGCATTAATCTGGAATTGTTGTCGGAAAACCATAAACTCAGTCAGACTTCCGGCAACTTCTGCCACCTGAAAATAATTTCCAGTCAGAAACATGAAGGAAATGCCTTCGGAATCAGGTAAAGATGCTACTTTTTTTTTTGGTTATTGGAAATAATACAAGATAGGAGATTTATGTATTTCAGATTAAATCATATCTTCTTTTATTAATATGAGGAAATAATGTTTTTATTTTTTCATGGGGCTAAATGCAATTAACCCTATTCTGTTAAACTTGAAAGCAAATCAGCAAGTTTTGATCAAATTAATCAACATCAAATATTTCGGGGTTTGGGATGAATAGATTTTCATTTTTTTACTAATTATGACATTATACTTTGAAAAATCTACCAAATTATATCATTTTACTTATACAATTTTTTTTTTTGCTTAGTAGGACATTGTACTTTGAATAATCTACTCAATTATGGCAGTAAAAATTGCTATATTTAGGTAGAATTTTCAAAGTATAATGTTGTAGTAGGAAGAAATAAAAGTAGGATGCTATCGTAAACATATAAATAAAAGTATGTTGCTATTTCTTGCAATTTAACCCTTTTCTGTGAATCCCAGAAGCAAATGAGCAAGATTTGGTTAAATCTGATTAAGATTTGTTGGTCAACATCAAAGATAGTTCACAGCAAGGCAGTTAGGATAAAATGTTATAAAGGTTTATTGTTTTTTGTGATTATCTTTGTTTGTAATTAAATGATTTTGATGTAAGCTTAGTATTGCCTCAAGTTTCATGATTGATGATTGATATGGATTTTTATTTACACGTAATTTTTTTTCTAAATAAATATTAATAGAAAAGTTTGGCCTTCTACTGTTTTTAAGGTACGATTTACCCTTTCTATGATTAGAACATAAACATGCAATAAAGTATGCAACGTTCAAATTAACAAGGAGTGGTTGTACTCATAAACATTTTCTTTTGTATAATTGATAAAATAAACAATAACTTTTTTTGTATGAGTTGATGTGGGTGAATTTGGATTGACTTGTAAACATTTTCTTGTTTGATTTTAAACTTTTTATAACGACTATTGTGTTAAATATGATTTACAAAATGATATTATTAAAATAACTTTTAGTTTTTAAATAAAACGCTTTAGAAGATTATATAACTTGACTTTAAACAAGTCAAACGCTTTAGAAGATTATATAACTTGACTTTAAACAAGTCAAATTTTCATCAAATTATTGTAGTTAGGTCCTGTCGAATTTACAGGTATAGATATGGATTCTGCGGATGTGAGCTTTCCACGAAAGCCACTTAATTTCCGAGGAATTGATGTGACAATTTTTTTTTTCTGAAGATCCGTTCCGCGGAGCTACCTCCGAGGAATGAACTCATTCCACGGAGGCAGCTCCGCGGAATGGATCTTCAGGATTTTTTTCCCACATCGATTCTTCGGGGTTTATACTCATTTCGCAGAGCAAAAGTTTATTCCTCGGAGGTAGCTCTGCGGAATTGTTCTTAAGATATTTTTTTTGCCATATCGATTCCTAAGAGCTTATACTCATTTTGTGAAATCCATGTCTATACCTAAAAACTTGATTTTTTGTGTCTGTTTTTTGGAACTCAACCCTAAAAAATGTCTCTATATCCAACAAAATCCCCAACATTTTTTTGTATATATCTAAGATGTTTTTTTTTTCTCTGAGGCAAAATGTCTGCAGTCTATGGATCATATTTGTAAATCTTTGCAGTAGAAGACGGATCAAACGTCTGTAGTCTGAAAGAAGAAGACTTTTTTTTTATTTTTATTTTTTTTTACATCTGCAGCATGTTAGAATAAACTAAAAATCCAATTAAACTGTTTTTTATAAAAAAAAAAATACAAAAATAAAAGAGTGTTTTTTTTTTTTTTTTATAATTTTATGATTTTATTATAGATAATTAACAAATATAGATTAACTTTTATGCATTATTGTATAAAAAATAAAAATGAAATGGTAAGAGTCATTGTATATATTTGATAAAAACCAACAAATTTTGATCGTAAAGTTATACATAAACATTGTAATTAGGGATAAAATAATTTAACACATAACATGAATAGAAATAAACTTTGATTTTAAATGAAAATTTTCAAAGTTTTTATTTTACCTTTTCAATCAAATCAATTAAAAACCGACCATAGATATTTTTCTCAAGAAATGAACGATCTTGCATTATATAATGTTTTATAAAATTTGGCACAAAAAAATATAATACAATATAATGATTTTTTTTGCATACTATATAAACAACTCTACAAATTATTATTGTAATTACATATTTATTTATAAATTTGTCACAAAAGTCATGATTGTGTAATTAAATATTTATTTATAAATTTGTCACAAAGATCATGATTGTATTATCAAACATTTTTTTCCTTTAAGTATTGTAACATTTTTTCAAATTTATTTATCATAGATAAAATTGGAATAAATCTAAGTTTAAAAAAATAAAAAAAGAAAATGAAAAAAGAAAGAAAAACAACAACAAAAATATATGTGTTTTTTAGGTTAGAAAATATCTCAAAAGGTTTGAAGATTCTGATCCACATCTACTCCAAAAAGAAGACACACCAACCTTTTTTAGTCTGTAATTTTCAGAAAAAACAAACAGTCTGCAAAACCTAATGTTTGCGCATGGTCTGCACAACGCAGAAAGAAGATATCAAAAAGATCTGCAAACAAAAAACAAAAAACATCTGATTCTTTTTACCGACCTTACAAGCAAATCATATTGGTTGTTATTTTTGATAATCTGTTAAAATTTGACGTTTTGATCAACTAAGATTGGTCAGTGTGGGCAACGCCCACCGACGTTTTTAGAGGAAAAAAAAAGAAGAAAACGGGTGTTATAAGATGTCGTGGTGGTCCCTGGGAGCAAGGTGCATGCTTATAACGTGCAACGGGGAGACGGTGTTTGTGCCGTTATAACGTGCAAAAACGCCCCATTAGCGTTGACCACACTTAACAACCTAAGGGGTTTAGAATTGCAATTAGAAAGCCAATTATTTGATTAATGCATTTTCAAAACACAAATAATCAAGCTTTAACAACTCCAAAACTGATTATGAGTATTGACAACTCCAAACATTGTTGCTACGTGCTATCATTGAAGAATGACAATATTTGATATAAGAATAATAAACTTTTATAGGATCTTTATATTATCTATAGTTGTAAAAAAGAAATGTCATTTTTGGCATGTAATTAAAAAACAAACTTGTATAGGATCTTTATATTATCTTTAGTTGTAAAAAAGAAAAATACCTTTAAATGTATTCTTTAAACTATTATCTCAAAATTAAAAACAGATTACAGATATAAGGTGTGTGTTTCATTTTGGTATTATTTGGTTAATTGTTAGTTTAATGGTAAAATAATAGATTTAGTTAATAGAAAAATGGTACAAGTAGCGCGTAACACATACTTTCTGTCGGTATGCAAATCAACAACCGGAGAAATCGCCGGAGAATGAGATGCAGTGGTACGTCGTCGCATCGCTCCTCACAGTTCTCACCAGTTCTCAGGTACCTTTCGCTGTCTTAGAACCCTAATTTCCACTTCAAATCAATAACAACCATTTTTTTTCCATGTAATTTGCGTGTTACAGCACACTTAAACCGCATCAACGTCTGTTTTGTCATTTTGAGCGTACTGATTTTGTTTTTTTCGTCATTGTTGCTTCGAGATTACTCAAATTTAGTAGAGTTTGAACTTATTATCCACTGTTATGCGAATTCAGGTAGGTTTAAGGTTATGTGATCTCTATTGCGTGTTTACACTGACCAGCACTGTCGATTTGCACTCCTTTCGAGTTGCAAATGAGATTTGATGCTTTATTTCTGCAATTAATATCTTCATCTTTCACAACATTGTTTTGCTGGTTTGATCCGTAGTGGTGGTGGAGCTAATCGTTGCCACAAATCTCTTGTTTCGAAATAATACGTGTTGATGATGATTTGGATCTTCGAACTTTACATCCTGATATTCTAACTAGTAATCAATATCGACCATTGCCTCTGTTTTAGCAATTAGGGTATCCTAATGTGGAGGTGTGAGAACTCCTAAGACACTGTCCACACAAAACCACTTCCATGATTTTGGATGTAGAACATTATGATGTTTAATCTTCCCAGCTACTGATTGCACACTTTCTATTTCATCAATCATGGCAGGGAATTTTGACTACATTGTCACAGAGTAATGGGGGATACAAGTATGACTATGCAACTATTCCTTTTCTTGCTGAAATCTTCAAGGTATTTATATCTTCATGTGAGTAAGTATGTATAATTTAAGAGCTGCTTCATGATGAAAAACCTAATTGTATTCCTTTTGAATTGCAGCTTATTGTATCCAGCATCTTCCTATGGAGAGAGTGTAAGAAATCACCTCCTCCTAGAATGACAACAGAATGGAAGAGTGTTCGTTTATACCCAATCCCCTCTATTATATACCTCATCCATAATAATGTTCAATTTGCAACCCTCACATATGTCGATACATCCACATACCAAATACTTGGAAATTTGAAAATTGTCACTACAGGAATATTATTCAGGTAAGTAAGATCCCTGATCTTTTTGTTTAATTCAATTGCATTAATGGTGGTTGGTATTAACTATTAAGTTATGGAACTGTTTAATTCTTTAGGCTCTTCTTGAAGAGGAAGCTCTCCACATTGCAGTGGATGGCAATAGTTTTATTGGCTGTTGGAACAACCACAAGTCAGGTACTAATAATATCTAATTATCTATCTCCAGCATTGTGTTTTGTATCAATCACATGAGATAAATTCTTGTATCCAACATAAGCTTTTAGCTGATAATACAGAGTAGATATTGATAAAGTTTATTAAGGACATAATTGCTTTTGTTTATATAGGTCAAAGGATGTGGAGGAGCATCTTGTGAGTCTCTCTTCTCATCCCCAATCCAAGGGTACATGTTAGGTGTCTTGTCAGCTTGTCTTTCAGCATTAGCTGGTGTTTACACTGAATTCTTAATGAAAAAAACTAACGACAGTTTATACTGGCAGAATGTTCAACTCTACACGTAAGCTTTTCATTCTTTATTTATTTATTTAATAATAATAATAAATATGTAAACATGACGATAAATGTTTTATTTAATTTTCATTCAGGTTTGGTGCAATTTTTAACATGGCAAGACTTTTTGCGGATGATTTTAGAGGAGGATTTGAGAAAGGAGCATGGTGGGAACGCCTCTTTAATGGCTACACTATTACAACATGGTTGGTGGTGTTCAATCTTGCTTCCACTGGTTTACTTGTCTCATGGCTGATGAAGTATGCTGACAACATTGTCAAGGTTTGACTTTTTGACTTCCGATTTATTTTAAACATTTCACTTTTCTCTTAATTAGTTATTGCTCAATTATATTATATTATATTATATTATATTATATCATATGATTGCAGGTGTATTCCACATCAATGGCTATGCTACTCACAATGCTTTTGTCTGTCTTCCTATTTACTTTCAAACCAACATTACAAGTAAGTAACACTACTCACTCTTGACAATTTAATTTATAAATTATCAGTTAATGAAATTTTACACGTTAAAACTTATATAATATATATATTTTTCTTTGTAGCTTCTTTTGGGTATTATTATCTGCATAATGTCGTTACACATGTATTTTGCACCTCCAACCACACTTGTTGACTTGCCTCTGAAGTCAACGCCTGTTGAAGTTTCAGTAGAGCGAAGAACAGATACAGATTCTTGATTCATCTTCTTCTTCTTCAAAATAGACAATTATTTGGTATTTGGTAGGTTGATGCTATTTTTTTTTACTCATTTGAACCATAAATATTTTTCTATTCCATGATGTAATTGATTTTTAGTACAATATTTGATCCAAAAAGAAAAAGTACAACCCATTTGATTACTATATGGGGTATGCAAATATATGCATGGATTTGATTTTAAAAACATGTTGTAGATTAAAGTTATATTAAAAAAATGTAGATGTGGAAAATGTGTAATTTTGTCTTAAGATTTGTTAAACATGAAACCATGACCTTTTAATTTCTCACAAGCTGTAAAATAGATCCTTTGAAAAAAAGAATATCTATCAACGAAGTGTGTCCAACTTGTAAGTTTTAAAAGCATCATTTTTTTCTATTTAGTTTGATACTTTGATACATATGTTGTTATAATTTTATATTATATTTGTATAAATTTGGATAAAGTTATTCTGTTATTTGAATTAAGTGTTTTTGTTACCTGTATATGTTATATTACCATGTGGAGTTTGCACCAATATAGCAATGAACTTTATCCAACCAGACACTTTATTTATTTATTTATCTTTACCTGTGATATGTGATAGCAATCAACTAATATTTCAATTAATTTAAGTTGACGTCACTTCAGCTGATAACTTTTGGAGTTATATATAACGGTGTCAGATGATAACAAATGTTAGTGTTTTTCTTTTTGAACAACCAATTTTATTAAAGAGGAGCTAAGACCGGTAGGTAAGGGCAACGCCAAGAGGCGTTAATCCGAGTTGGAAGTCTAATAATGCCGTCATAACGGGCAGCACACCACCCCTCTCTGATGTTATTTGATGTTATGTTAACAAATGTTATTATGGCAACGAGAAGTAACATGATCATTAACCAATCAAAAGCCTCTCTCTCTCTCTCTCTCTCTCTCTCTCTCTCTCTCTCTCTCTCAACATGTTATAACATTTGAACATCATTTTCTACATAAATCAAAGGGAAATCTTCAATAAAGTCCTAAAATTTTAGCTCGGTTTATGTTTTAGTCCTAAACTAATTTTTATTTACGAAAAAGTCCCAAAAACCGGCAAAAGTTTGCAGTTGACCCTTTTTGACTAGTTAGAACCGGTAACAAATTAATTTATGACTATTTCATAAATAGACCCAAAATATTGGGACTTTTCTGCAAAAACAAAAAATACTAGGGTTTTTCTACAAACAAAAACCTTATTATTATTATATTAAAAATATAAATAAGTATACTATTTTTTAAATTTGTTATTATTAATATTATTAATAATACATATAAATACATTTAAATTAAAAAGATATTAAAGATATTTTATAAAGGTGAAGGTTGAGCGGATGATAATGCTTTAAGCTTCGAAATCATGAATGTCTCTTTGTATATTCTAATTTTGTATATGGTCATTTCACATTTGTTATTATTGTTTTTAATTCAGAATATTAACATTTAACAATTTAAAAGAAGCTACTGATTTTTCAAATTATTTACAAATAGTGAGCATGTGATATGCGTGTATGTCTTGTGTGTAAGTATTTTTGAATTACCAATATGTGTTATGCTCTTTTTCATTACTTTATCCTTGTGGTTTTTTGGAAACATAGCAGATATAGTGTGATAAAGCAAAATAAATCATATTACTTTCTATTAAATAAGATACTTTAATTAATATTTTCGAATTTTGATATGGGTCACCAATGTAAATATTTATTGTGAATCTGTTGGATTTGAAAAGAAATCATTCTACCTTAAGAAATTTTATATACAAAGTGAGAAATCCTTTTATCTTAAACTATTTATACATAATTTTACAAATAGATAACTTCTTTTAAATTGTTAAGTGTTACTATTTTGAATTGAAAACAATAATAAGAAATGTGAAATGATCATATACATAGTGAGGATATACAAGCAGTGATTTCAATGCTTAAAACATTATCATCACCACCACCTTCACCTTTAAATAATTTCTTTAATATATTTTTATTTAAGTGTATTTATATGTATTATTAAAAGTTTTAATAATAATGAATTTAAAAATTAGTATACTTGTTTATAATAATAATAATAGTAATAATAATAATAATAATAATAATAATAATAAAGTTTTTGTTTGTAGAAAAATCCTAATATTTTTTTTTGCAGAAAAAATCCCAATATTTTAGGTCATTTTGTGAAATAGTCCCAATATTTTAGGTTAGTTTATGAAATAGTCCCAAATTAATTTGTTGTCGGTTCCAACCGGTCAAAAGGGGTCAAAATGCATACTTTTGCCGGTTTTTAAGACTTTTTCGTAAACAAAAATTAGTTTAGGACTAAAACGTAAACCGGACAAAAAATTTAGGATTTTATTGGAGATTTTCCTAAATCAAATGGTGTTAAGAATGACATGGTACAAATTTTGAATATGATAGCATGTCTTAACATCCAAAAGCCTAAAAAAAGAAAAACTATTATATAGAAATGACCAAACTTCGGTTGTTTAACCACAAGACCCGGTTAAGCTACAATTTTCGTTTCCAACTAAGAAACCAATTAAGGAAATTAAATCATAGAACAAAATTCAAAAATAGTTTACCAATTAAACGGAAACTCAATAATCAAAATTCAAAATAGTTTCACTCCTATACTTTTGTGACCAGAAAACGATAGGGTTGCGATAGTTCCATAAGACCCATCAAGTTGTCATAATGATAGCTTTATATTTAAATATTCATACCCGTAAATAATCAAATCATGCCACTGCAAAATCACACCATCTAACTATGACATTACACATTCTAGCTGCCAATTCACAATCCTCAAAACAAATTATCCATATCTTTGGGATAATTAGAACACATCGGAATAACAAGCATGTAACTCCTCTACAAACAAAATTTAGTTTGGATGACATATATCCTATATGATTCTCCAAGCTAAAATATTGATTCCATATGGTCCTTATATGACCATCTTCCAAAATTACATCCATCTCTCTCTCTCTCTCTCTCTCTCTCTCTCTCTCACACACACACACACACACACACACACACACACACATATATATATATATATATATATATATATATATATATATATATATATATATATATATATATATATATAGGTGTGTGTGTGTAGGATCAAATGAGAACACCAAAAATGTTGAGAACGCGAGAACACAGTATATTCATTTGCGATTCCATGTATTCATTTGTGAAGAAATGATAAATTTTTACGTCTTTAATTTCAATTGAAGAGAAAAAACATATTCATGTTGATTGTGCGTAAAAACTTATTATTTTTCCACAAATGAATATATGGAATCCCAAATGAATATACTTGTTCTCGCGTTCTCAACCTTTTAGTTGTTCTCATTTGATCCTTTATATATATATATGCAGTTATAGCGGTTCAAAATCAAATATCGATCAAGGGCCGATATTCGATATATGGGTTATCGTGGTGGGATATCAGTGAGATATCGATAGTTTTATATTACGTAGCGCCTTTGTAACCTTGTGTTGTATTGGTTGAATACAAGATCATTAAGTAAAACATACACTAATTAGAAAATGTTGGAAGCAAATGTTTGTTAATCCCATAAAAACCCCACCATATATCTACATTTTAACAACAAATGAAGTGATTTAATAAAAGCTTTAGCTATAAACGCTATTTCACCGCTATCCCACCGCAATTTGCCAAATATCGGTCAATATCGTCGATATTTGCGGTACCGCTATTTTGCCAACTACCGATAACCGCTATGACATCCCTATCCCACCGCTATTGACTGCACACACACATACACACACACACTCACACACACACACACACACACACACACACATATATATATATATATATATATATATATATATATATATATATATATATGTGTGTGTGGTTAGGTTCAAATGTAAATGACATTTATTGTGTAAGTGTAACTGTGTAACACAATTCTGACCATTGGATTAATGAAAAATAGAATCATTCTTATACGATTACATTTATTAATAATTTTCTTTTAAGAATTCAAATTTCAAATCCATTTGAAGACTAATATGGACTTTTATTTTAGGCAATAAAATAACTGAATCCGGATTTTAGGATTTTATTTATTTATTTATTTATATTTGTAACAGCCCAAAAACCAGATAAATTTTTTCATTTTTAAAAATAGAAATTACAATCATAATTTATTTCCAAAAATCCAGTACATCATATCATGTCAAATTATCAGAGTATCAATATCAATGAGTGCGGAAAATATTGGAGAGTGAATGTTGCGCCATCAAGCAGGACCATTCCGTTTAGTACCGGGAGTACCTGAAATCACCCAAATAAACTGTAAGCAAAAGCTTAGTGAGTTCCCAAAATACCACATAACATACAACCACATAATACCATGCGACATACATATAATTGTCAAGGGTTACCCACATGGTTTTTACCTGATATGCCATAGGCTACCTGCTAAGGGTGTTCACGGTCCGATTTTTTCGGTTTTTAGGTCAAACCGAAGTCAAACCGTTACTAACGGTTTTTGTCAAGCAAAAACCGAAGCCGAACCGTTGAAAATTTAAAACCGAACCAAACCAAACCGTTACTAACGGTATAATTTCACGGTTTGAGTTTTTTAGATCCATTTTAGTCGAGTCCATTAAAGTAATTTAGTAAAAAAAAACTGCACTATTAAAGGTATTAAGACAGTTATAATTCTACCAAATATTGTTAAAAATACTACAATATTAAAGCTGCCAAAACAAAAAAAAATTATGTCTGTTAAAAAAACTGCAATATTAAAGTTGTCAAGCAAAAAAATTGCCTAATATTGTTAAAAAAAACTACAATAATTAAATATTGTGGGTTTTAAAGTTTATTATTTGTATATAAAAATTTAATATATAATACAACAAAATACAATTATATATTAAAAATTTAATTAATATATATACAAATCCTACGGCCCGATCTGATTTTTATACGGTTTGAAATCTTAAAAACCGTAAGCCAAACCGTTCAATATGGTTTGAAAAGTTTGAAACCGCAAGCCAAACCGTAAAGAAAATACAAACCGTAAAACCAAATCGATGACCGGTTTGGCCGGTTTCACGGTTTCAAATCGAACCGCAAACACCCCTACTACCCCCATGGTCTGATATCCAAGTACCATGAGCTACCCTCATGGTCTTCCATGCCATAAGCTACCCCCATGGTCTTCTTACAAGTGCCACGAACTACCCTCGGGGTCTTTAGACAATTAAATACATAAACAACTGTCAATCCACATGTCAAGTAATGGGCCGACATTGGTGCCTTCGATCAATTGATATAGTGAGAAGACTCACCTCAGACTGCTGATAAATAATAACT